ATCAAATTACTGAGAACAGAAGGGATGAGCAAAAGTATGTGCATCCAACAACAACCCTCCAGGTTTTGAAGGGGCGATCAAGTTAGCAATGTCGATTTTTTAGAATATGCTCTTTAGTTATCCTAGAAAATCAAGGGAAGCGCGTAATCGTTACAAGATGATTGGCATGGACAGGTGTTGTGCATGTTCCTTGATAAGAATCTTTGACGCACAACATTCATTATCAAGTATATTTCACATATGTCCTAGGCAAGACTGTACCAAACAAATCACGGTACAATAATCAGTCTCCCACTAGAACAAGTGATCGACGTCCATAAATTACGTTAGTTGAGGCATGTGTTACGCACGTCACCAAGCAGATTGTCACGAAGAGCGGTGTTCGCCGAGGCAGGTAGTAGGTGGAGAAAAGCCGAATTTGGTCAAAGTAAGACTAGGCAAGAGGGTTTGAAAACCCTTACCAGGATAACTCGGCCACATAGGCCACGTTAGACACCCTGCATGGGGATCTCGGGATGATTGTAATCAATGGTTAGAGACATTGAGTACTATGGGTGAGTGTCGTAAACAGCAGCGCCCGTGCACCTCCGTTTCTTTGTAACCCTAGTCTTCTGGAAGTCCCCGTTTTCTCTTCGACTCTACTTCGAACTTTCCTATCTTTCTTCTACCCCTTCATACAAATGGGCAACTAAGAGACAGCAACCAAAAACCGGCACACGAAAGTGAATGGTTAATGGGTGAAAAACTGAAACCGAAGTAGTACAAGCATACTTTAGGTATGTTGTAACAAACACTGTTTTAGTCCGTCTCCGAAAAAGTACTTCAATATTTTGCATAAAAATGCGGCGATCGAACCCAGTGGCTTTAATGCACCCTAGCGAAATGTTATAGATACCACTCTAGAAGGAAAAGACAGAGTATCGGTATTTGAACGCCTCTGTCCATGTGGCGCTGAGTGAGTCTGGAGGAACAAATATTTTCAATGCAGTAACTCGGCGAGAGCTTACGTTTCTGAGTTCAGACTGTGCTAAACAAATCACGATACTATAATCTCTACCATAGAATTAGTTCCATGAGTTGCTCACGGGCGGAATAATGTCAGGACGTCCAGGCTAAAGCAAGTAAACTTTTTTGAAAGATTTACAGCCGTAGTCTTCCACTAGCCAAATCCTCACCCGTAAGGCACTGGGACGCTATGTAAATATCCCAATCCATTTGGGGTCGATGTTCAGTTCATTGGATCATACGCCTTTTACTCAAATAATTCCAAGTGAACTGCCAGTGGTTCAACAAGCCGATTATGGTCCTGGGTGTTGGCTTTTTGTTCTCACCTTTTAGAGAAAAACCTCCGTCATATGAAGGAAGGGAGTATGGTTTTATCAGTATAGGCTATTTGATTCGCTAGATCGTATAGGAGCATTTTTTCAAGATGAAAAGGAAGATACGACCAATCGTAAACCAATACACCCATCGCCCGACAAACGACTACTATGTCTAGGGCATGCCTTAATATATTTACCATATTTACCTTAAGCAAGTCTTAGAAAAGGATTCTTCGGTGTGCGACAATTTTTGTGAGAGAAAATAGTTGGAAGAAGGGCTTTGAGGTATGGAAACCTCGACCAGGAAGCTTGGTCGTTAGACACATGCTTTCTGACTGAGAACACCAAGATTTATTAATATTTTCTACTTTTGTTGAAGTCTTGACTAAGTTTAGTTCAGTTTTTACAATCACTAACTATACACTTTTGTTTGCCAAGTGCCAAACAAATCATGATGCAATGATTTTTATAACTAATTCGCTAAACTATGGTTCGCGCATGAGCGCTATATTTCCAGGATACCCCGGCTAAAGTGGTACGGGATCAGCCAAACCAATGGTTAAACACTCGCTAATACAGATAAAAGTTGCAAGCAGCGGTGGTCTAGCATGTGTCCACTTTCTCTGCAATAGTTTACTGGCATTCGCTAAACGTTTCGCGGTGCTGATATCCATTGGACATCAAATAAATGGGTAAGACAGTAACCAAAACCAGCACACAGGAGTGCACCAACCATGTCTACAAATAATGATTTTCGCATACGCTCCTACAGACCGTACCCTGGATACAGTCAAAGATGCCTTCTATCACAGACTACATGAGCCCCTTTTCAAAGCACCTAAGACGGATTTCATGATTCTGATCGCAGACTTAAACGCGCGTATTGATTGTCTGTCACCCCATGAGACCCATCTTAGTGGCCATCATGGCATTGACAGCTGTCGTTCAGATCATGGGGATAGACTCCTTAGCATATGCTCAGAACAGAGTCTGTTCCTCGTAGCACCAACTTCAGACACCCAAAGCGTCACCTCGCCACTTGGCGTAACTCCACTTCGGCACAGATGTGGATTCAGATTGATCATTCAGCTACTACCTATAGATTAGATTACCTATAGAGGGTAAGGGAAAGACTGTGAAAGATTCTCTACCTGCTTAGACTCCGACAAAGCACTCGTTTATGCCAAGTTGTCTATGCAACTTGGTGGTTGCAAAATAGTGAACTGCAAGCAGCTTGAGGTCGCCAAGCTTTCTGATTCAGCCGTGCCAGCCGACTACCAAAACGAGTTGGCAGCAAGGCTAATTACTACTCCACCAAGAAGTGTAGATCAACACTGGATAACCATTCAAAACGCAATCCGCTCAGCTAGTTTACACAGTTGTAGCCTGACCCATCAAGTTGTAAAACACTGGGTCTCCTCCAATTCTCTCATACTTCTTGACACCCGTCGGGCAATCCCGACAAATTGCGAGTATAATGAACAGGGCCTCTGTCAGAAGCGTGTACTCACAAAGAGTTTGAGAGACGACCGAGAGGCCTGGTGAACACTACGTGCAAAGGAGATGGAATCAGCAGCTAGGTGTGAAAACACCCGGCAACTATTCCAGCTCATCCGTGCTATGGGCCCCAAAAGCCACTGCGTTAGTGAAACAATCTGCGAATGAGACGGCACGCTAATATACACTCTTCACCGACGCTTGGAACGATGGCCAGGGCACTTCACGTTGCAGTTCAACCAGACCCCGCGCTGGCTGCCTCAAGTAATTGTCTTGAGTGCACTCTGTTAACCATCCACGAAACCGACCACAGAAGGGAAGATCCGAAAGGAACTCTAAGCCCCGAAACACCTGAACCAGACGGCTGAATCAGACAGCTTAACACCAGCTCTGTAAAGATGGTGGAGAAGCTCTGGTGAGAAAGCTTGTCAAATAGTTCTCGAGCATCCGGGGAGAACCGATTGTCACACCCATTTACAGGGGTTGTCTTAACGCCTGCTCCGACCACGAGGACATAGATATGGTTCCAAGAGCACCGAAGCTGTTGGCGTCCGTTTTATTACGCAAACTAAACCCATTTTGCGAAAGACAAATCAGCGAAGGGCATATCGGGTTTCGTGCACGCCGAGTTCGCATAAATCAAATCTTCACCACCACATACGGATGACAAACTATTGCCGTGTTTTTGTACATCCGAGCAGTCTTTGACTTCATCAATAGCCCCACACTGTGGAACTGTTTGCTCAGATACGGAGTACACGAGAAGTATGTCCTGCTTCTAAAAGAACTCTACCACCAGACCTCGGCGAAAGTTAGGGTCTATGGTGAACTTTCAACCTCATATGCTATCACCAGTGGAGTACAACAGGGTTGCCCTACCCGTTTCTCTTCAACTTTGCCATACATGTTCTACAAAAAGCGTTACGTAAAGGAAGCTGGCCTAAACCTTCTTCCTGCAGACAGAATTGTAGTCTTAAAATATGCCGATGATACTGCCTTACTCTGTGAAAACGTACCGAAGATTCAAAACCCACTGAATCGTTTGGCAATTGAGATTACGTATTATGACATGTTCTTGGCATATATATATACAGCTTCGAACTGCGTTTTTGTACCGGTGACTTATTGGGTCTTGCTGCACTTGAAAACCAACGAGAAACACACCTGATCTCACTCGACATCTCAAATGGTCCCGAACGAATTTAGTGCGAAGGTTCACTGGCAAAAACATTTATGTTCGGGTCCCCACAGGCTCTCGTGTTTTGGATATCAATGTTTCTTAGTAAGTGACCAGTTGTCCGAGTTGAAGGAATTTTCTCTCAGCCGATGTTCGCGAATATTCGCTTACTACATGCATTCACGCCCTTTATTAGATTTATCTAGGATTTCCTATCCTACGCTCAACCTAATTCCTTCAAAGAAGAAGGTTAGCTGTGAATAAGTTGTGGCATATCGCAACAAATAAGCAGTTGCGAACAAACAGCGGCGGAACTGTCAGGGTGTGGTGGGTTCCAGTCTAGTCACCTGGCTCCTGTTTAAAAGCCGCATAAGCCCAATGACGGTGTAGTGTAGTTCCATGTGACTGACCTTTGAAAACCAAAATCATTGACCCCGTCACTTCTGAGGCGAGAAAGTACTTCTTGCTGTCTTGCAGTTCGCATTTGGTTGTGCAAAGCTTAGAGGTACGCCCTCAAAATAAAAAACGCCGAGTGACGCTGGGGACGGCTCTCGTACCAAACTCCCAAGTAACTTCATGACCATGATCATGTCTGGAGCCGGCTTATCTTTTCCAAGGAGCCAGTCGCAGTAAAGTAAAGTAAGACGGAGTGATCGACGATCCTTCCCTGGCTTTTAGTCTGCAGTCGTGGGGAGTACTATTATACCGTAATTTGCTTTACTTGCAAGCAAAAGAAAGGTTGGAGTAGTTTTTACCTCTAGTAATAACAAGATCAATTCACGTTGTTTTAAAGGGGTTTATTGTATTGTATTAATCCAAATGTCATCATAATAGTTCTCCCAACCCCATACAGGAACTATGTAAACTGCATTCACTTTGTCCTTGAGAGACGAGGTGAACGAGTGACCGTGAAACAATAAGAGCGAAGCAAGTAAATGATCTAGCTCGAACATTGATCGTAATAATGACTGAAAATGCTGTGCACGAAGAACGTTTAAACTCACCCAATGCCTTTTGTTCCAGACAGGAAAAACAGTTTACTCGTTGTGCCAATGCATTTGATATATCCTGATCCAATACTGAGGTCTTCTTTTGCAAATCCAATACCCAATCTGGAATTACTTTTAGATGACAGTCGTGTATTGAAAGACGGCCATGACACCACTGTTCGACCGTCTCATGAATTCTGGCCTTCCGAAATCGAGAAGCAGGCTGTAAAGAAGGTAGAGAGGCAGTACTGATGGCCACAACTTCCTCAGTCAACTGGTCTGATTCGGTTTTTGCGATCATTTGCGTAGAACGCACTTCAGATGATCCGGCGGAGTGTGGATGCAACGGACACATCAAGGGTACACCAGAGAACGGATGGTGAGGTTGTGTTTTGGACAAAGGTAGGTTGTACGGCGAGTGGACAAGTGATGGGCGTACCAAAGGAGGTGGATTCGGCCAGTTAGCACTGCCAGCAACACCAGTGGGTATTGAACTACCAGCTTGGGCAGTATTGGCAGCAACAGCAACTGCCGCCGCCGCAACCAGACTGAATGAGGCCGGATCATAGTACATAGAAACAGTGGATGGATGGGGGCGGGGTGGACAGATGGAGGCTACTCCGGGTACTGCCAGCGTCTCCGTGGTGGTGGATGGGATTGATTGGTTCTCTGAAGGAGATGCGTGACCAGAAACTGGGGCTGTTTGAACAGATGAGTTTGGTGCCACACTTTTAGAATCTAATTCAGAATGATAATAAGAACTATTTGATTGTATGTGAGCCGTAAGAAGTGAAGGCAACAGAGATGAGTTTTGATGACCGGGAACCACGGAATTGTAGTGAAAAACTTCGCATGGATTATGTGTACGGGACTCTGGTGTACCTTCGTCGAAAAACTTAAAATGTCGATCGCAAGCAGATAACGAAAAACCCGTAGGTAAGGTCTGTGGAACTTTTGGTGATGTCCGATAGTGTGCCGGAGGAAACACAAAGTTTGAATCACAATGATCTCGAGCGGCGATAGGAGTATCCGGTCTGGATGTGGTCTGAGTACTCGAATTGACCTGGGGAGCCTAGAATAACAAATGAACGAACACCGGATAAGTCATTCCCGAACTAGGGAAACAAAGAACACAATCGTAACCAATGCGTGCATACTAAAGTGAGCAGCAAGTATCGAAAACTTCGATAAGTATGACACGCGCACGTTGGACAGCGATTTCCTTCATTTGATGCACGCTGAGGATCGTGAAGTCATGACGTCTTGCAGTACATAGGAACGCGCAAGTTTATTATCACGTCTGCACACAAAAGCACGTAACACACATTGGTTCGATCAAGTGTGAAACAAACTAAAGCAATTGTGTGTGTCACGCCCAGAGGCGAACCGGATAGGTTAATTTGCTATTGGAGGCGGGTTTGAGAACTAGCCAGTTAACTGGTTGGTGGAACTCACCTCACAACAGACAAACAATGAAATCAATTTATGATCATGTCTATAGTGAACAAATGTATATGCGAGACATGCAAACCAATAGGTAAACTGCACCAAGACTAGACTCATTCTCCGGACCAGTAATCATTTAATCACATTAGGTCGAAAACAAGCGAGTGGGAAATCGATAGAAATAGATCAAATAAGTCCTTCTGTTAGTAATGGAACGACAACACAACCTACATTTTGCTGGAGATTGATACGTGTAAACGAAGCGAGACTGAAGAAAACATGCACGCGAAATTATGAACACTATAAAAAGGATGTTATTACCAAGAATAGTTCTATCAAATCTTGTCTCCAGACTCACATTCGGATTCAGGCATCAAGGTAAGGCGATAAATGGCACACTGATGAACGCCAAATCTGATTTCATCTGATAAATCGGTACGTGGAACCGTTCGATTAGTATACATAACTCCTTTAATTGTCTCGCTGGGGTTATAAAACTTGACAAAAAATTTATTGATTCCTCTTTTTCTGTGAATGCTTATCATTACCATTTCATCAATTACTTTGTTATAAAGATTTTTTTCTGCATTTTGCTAAACAAACAGTCTGGAATCAGACGTAGGTAAAATATAATTAACAATATCTGGTTAGCCAGTAATTTTACACGGCAACAATCACTTTGAAGTGCGAGCTTGACTTTAAACCATCATCGCCAACACTTAATATATTCTTCCGATACGAATGCACGTAGAGTCCGTACTTTACCGTAATCTTTTCTAGAGCTATTTTTTCATTACCTCATATCGATTGGAAGCAAACAAAAATTAGAAAAGGTACATGGTGAAACAAAAAACCACTGATGTTTTTGTCCATTTTGTTCCATGGAATTGTTTTTCTACAATGTTCTTATTTGTACCCAGATCCTCCCCTTTCTATTATTAATGTTATCCAGTTTA